CTAAAATCAACACAAGTGACCCTGTATGATACCTATTTACATACATAATAATCGTTAGCTAATGGTTATCATAACTAAAATCTATACCCTTCGTTACCTTAGAGTACGGTAGAATGAAGCAGCCACAGGAAAAGTTGGTACATCCTGCAAAACAGCACATTATAATCGTTAACTATTGTGGTTATGCTAAAATCAACACAAGTGACCCTGTATGATACCTATTTACATACATAATAATCGTTAGCTAATGGTTATCATAACTAAAATCTATACCCTTCGTTACCTTAGAGTACGGTAGAATGAAGCAGCCACAGGAAAAGTTGGTACATCCTGCAAAACAGCGTGATTATACATTACAAACACACAACGCAACTTTGACTATTCATTCCGGACGCTTTAAAATAGCAAACGTTTCGACAATAAGAAGTTCAACACGTCAGTGAAATAAAGGGACATATTTACATAAACTGTGAAATTCTTCGTTTTCACTATATGTCACAGCGGCCATCTTGGAGGTACTTCAACAAAGGATTTCTTGCTCATTCATCCAACATGGCCGCCGTTCTTTTATCTTTTGAATCTCATGAGAATTATGGTTGAAATAAATCAATAGTCGTATCCAGTTTTTACTAAATAGATCGTACATTTTTCTTGTCGTATGCCCAGTAATAAGACGCAAAGGCACCTGCCAATACGCACTGACCAAGAGCGATGATAAAGTTCATGATCCAAAACCAGCCAAATAGATGATAGACTTGCATACGGAATATATGACTGAAACACACAACATGATAAAACAATGATAAGAACAAGTCTAATAATAATACCATCAAGTGATTTATGGTACGATCAAAACTCCGACCGGAAAGAGCTTCAAAGAAGGTAGTAGTAAGAGCCGCTTCAAAGATGGTGTTTGCAATTATGGGTGAGACGTGTACTATTCGCTATTTCTTACTCAACTGTCGCTATTGAAAGCGCGCCCTTTCGTATCACGATTTAATTATTGGGAAACCTTACCAGGGGAGTAAATATTGGTTGATTGATCGCGTGTCTTCCCTGTTGCTGCTAATAAAACTTACTCATTGTCGTTAAAGTTGATGAACTTGCAGGTTGTATCGTTATTTAGAATGCCATAGTTATCGGACACTGCCTGTAGATAAAACACGACGTCTGATTGAGCTCCTGATACAGTATACATATATTACTCAGTCAACGGGTTATTGAGTAAGTTTTCTAGAACGMATTAATAATTCATGAGCTATTAGTCCAATCAGAATCCAACTATTGGGTCACATGATGGACCTTTATATCCCGATAAAGCACTGATGTTTTATTAATCAGTTCTATAT